AGGTACAGTTACTCATAATTGAAATTTATTTTTCTTTCAAACTCAATTATTGAAAAATTTTTGAACAAAAGTTAAAAAAATAATACAGTTCAAATCCTCCAATAATCTAAACAGAAATTTTAGTAACTGCTAGACTGTTTCTTAAAATTAAGAAAAATAACAATATATTTTTACTCGCAATTTGAGCCGAAATATATAAAAATACTCGAAATATTTAAAAAAAACACCGGTGTCTAATATACATCGAAGAGTTAATAACATAAAAGTAGCTGTATGTAATAATTATTATCTCTTCGTTGTTAAATTTTATTCTAATAATAACTTTGCATTTCATTTACTTAATTAATTTGGACATCGCTTTCATCTTTATTAGTCTTAAAGATTAAAATTTATTGAAATACGTCATTTACATAATATTACAGTTGAGAACAATAATTATTATATTGCAGTATTAAGAAAAACTATAAAATAATAAATTACTTTTTCAAAGTAGAAACACGTTTCGAACAGTTTTGCGCAATTTTATTCCAGTAATAATTCTGCACTTCAGCTATTCAATTAACTTTATAATTTATTTTATCTATGGTTTTTGAGAAAACATACCATAATATGTAATTTAAATGACATTATAACCTTAAAATAGTAACAAAAATATTGTAGTAAAAAATCTTTAATATATCTCTATATATCCAATAATCATCCATTTAAACAGTTTGTTAACAGTTTTACTACAACGACATTTGCTACAGTCCAGCAAAATTTCACGCATGAATACTTTTGCAAACTGAGCACTATCCTGAACAAGTCTCATATTCATAATATTTATTCAATATTGGTACATGAATATTAAATTAAGATTATGTTCCGGCAAATTTAATGTAATCATTGAATATTGAATATCAATATGCAACGAACACAATAGTTCCAATTTTCGAAATGCAGAAATGATATTCCTTATGCATAAATTATATTGGTTAGACAATCTATTGTGTTTCAGAGCATTCAGCTTACGCATTAGCAAAAGGCAGTTCGATTATATCTTTTTTTAATAATATGAGTAAATAGAGACTTTTTTTTAAATATTACCTAGATAAAAGTTTAAAAAAAAGTTTTGAAATATTAATTTTTAATTGTTCAAATAGTAAGATTCACCCTTTTCCAACCGATAAATTGAATCAAACACTAGACAATTTTTCACGTTTATTAATTATGTATTTTTTACCTGACTAAAACAATGTTATATGTTTATAAATATTTATTAAATTTATTTTATTACATACAAAATACATAAGAGGTCTCTGATATGATTGGGCGAGTTCCTTTGCTGTATCAACTAAAGCTTTTGTAGGTTTTTGCATTATTGTTATTATATTAATTGACATTAATTCTATTATAGTTATACCAGGTGTGAAATTTTGATTATTAATTGTATTTAATCAATACTAATACATAACAACGTATTATAATATTGAAGAATGAAATTTACTAAATACGTACGAAAATGTTTTTGATTGTTGTTATTATATTTATTGACAGTAATTCTATTATAGATATTGTTATCAGTTGTGAAATTTCGACCATTACGTACATTTTATCATATTAAAAATCATCTATTAAACAGTGAGTTAAAATATGTTAAGACAAATTTCCCTATGACAGGAAGTAATAATTCTGAGTTTTTCTTCCTATTTTTAATGTTAGAAAAAAAATTATGGATATCAGGGAGACATATGCATGTGGATGATTTAAATGTTATAAGTATGCTTTAACAATTTGTTTAAATTTGTTGACATATCTTGTACCTACTGTTAATTTGCGTCAATGAGCCGCACTAAGTTACTATAAATGGTCTGATGTACTGCAAAAATTAAGGATAAATTAATATTCAATTTTAATGTTAAATCCGTTTTAATTGTGAAATTTAATACCGCATTTTTTCAATAATACTTATTTAATTACAGTCATTCGGAGATTTTTCTGTAAATAGTAATGTTAAATATAACATATATGAGATCTCTTATTCAGCAAAATTTTATGATGACTTAACTTAAGGAAAAAAATAATTAAAAGGATTACTGTTACGATTAAAAAATAATTTATTATAAAATTACGTTACTCAAATAGAAATCTTAACGATATTTATACGAATTTTACAATATAGCCCCCAAAACGTTTTAGCGGATTTTTTAGTGATTACAGTCATTCGGAGATTTTTCTAAAAATGTTACTGTTAAATATAAGGTTTATCAAATATTTCATCCGGCAAAATTTTACTGTAAAAATGGATTTTGGAGTAAACAGTACCGGCATTGGTACCATTACTTTAATATGATCAGTGATTTTACAGTGTATCGCAGCTATAATTTTTTACCACCACAAATATTTTTCCGCATATTAGAATTTTATATACACTAAATTTTCCGTTGTATCCTGTTCACTAAATGATATTATAGGATATAAAATCTATAATGAGATGATGATCCCAATTTCTTTCAATGCACATTGTACATCATTGTATGTTTTAAAGTATTTTATGTAATCGATAATGGTTACAAATCAGCATTTTACAAATACGAATCATGCTCGTAATAGTTTTTTAAATGCATTAACTTGTATTAAAGTAATAATATTTTTAAAAATCAATAGATATTAGCTTATTCATAGAAACTCCCTGACTCAATAAAGGCTAATATTTTCATGCCTTGGGTCAAGAGCTCACATATTTTTATTTTTCTACAATTTACCTAATGCTTCAAAATCATAACGCCTTCACTTAGATACGCTTAGTCCATGGAGAAAACAATTCAATAAACTAACCATACCGTTGTATAAAATAACCAAAAAAATCATAATTCTTATAATGCAAATTAAAATGTACGGTATTAAAGTAGCTAATTTGGTAATTTTTCAATTCACAGGGTAATACGTCAACGAAAATTCTGATTTTCAAAATTATATTTTTCATTACAGCACATTTAACAAAAAATACAAAACTGAAAAATAAACTTCAATAAATAAATGGTTTTCATGCCGTGTTCTGAGATATCATGATAAAATCAACAAATTTTACCATGTTTACGAACTTTTATTACATATTTTAAAATTACATTTAATTATTAATTGTTAATTGTTATTAATTGTTATTAACTGTTATTAATTGTTTAATTATTAATTGTAATTTTTTCCAAACTCCTTGACTAGTGCATTGGTAAAAATGATCTAACTTTTTGGTTTTCCCATAGAGCCAGAAACAGGGTATCTTTTTCCTTAATCTGGTTTTGACCATAGTATTTTTTTCAGTGAATGAAAGTTAATAACCATATAAGAAACTATAACAGTTCGCTTTGCTTATTTGGCCCATTGATGATTCGCTTTCCATGATAATAAATTGATCCCCAGCAAATGCTTTTAAAAAAACTCTTATCTTTAATAATTAAAACATTAGTGAAAAGTATTAGATACAAAAAAAGGCGATCGTTCTTCAAGAATTTCGTTTTTGCTGCAACTTTATTTTTAATATAAATTCTAACAAAGACATAAACAGATTCACTAACATAAATTACTAAAGAAAAATGCTTTCAGAAATCCAGTTAGAAAATGTTGAAATTATTTCTCCAGATCTTTCTCCAGTTTTTTTCCTTCAGAAAATAACAAATATTTCATCAACTTATTTTTGTTATTGTTGTTGAAAAATATTATTTGCTCTTTTTGCAAAATAGTTAAACAATAGTCAGTAAGGAGACATTTAAGAGCATTTCTTTAAAAAGCTTCAAATTATGAGTATATGATCAGGTAAAATTAAACGTATTTGAAAATTGAGATATTACTCAATTAAATATGATCCTCTCATTAAACAATTATCAGTAATTACAAGATTTAAAGTTGCTAAATTGTCGGTTCTCTTTAACTTTCTAGAAGTTGCGATCGTTTTGAGAATCTCGCTCACAGCTTCTATGATTGAAAATATGCAAGCAATCATTAAATTTGAATACACTGTGACAATACTGTTAATTTCTGTTCACTTAATTTACTATAAACGTAAAATTATAAATAAGTATAATAATAATACACACGAATTAAAAATATATAAATATGAATACTTTATGAATACTATGTAGATAATATAAAAATATATCAATACAAAAATATGGGGTAATTTTGATGTGAGGGAAAAGAAAATCAGAAATTATAAATTGAGTTCAGTTTATATTCTTACAAATATTATTAAAAAATGACTTTTTCTGTTCATGTACAAAAGTTTTTCAGTCAAGATACATATTTACACAATATTTTGATAAATGTACTTACTAATTATTTATATACGTCAACTGTGAGACATATTTGTGAAATCACCCAAGAGCATGAAAACTACAAAGAACAAAAACTACAGCATAAAAACAATAAAACAATAAAATGTACACTATAAAACTACGAAGAATAAGAACTACATCAAAATGACTACAAAAGAATAAAAACTACAGCTAAAGAATTTTAAAGAATAAGAACTATTGCGTAAAACCTTATTATTATTTATTGCATAGAACTAATGTAAAAAATTCCAGGAACACTGTCACATTACAGAATCAAAATTTCTCAGAAATTCCAGAGAGTTTGGTTACTTTGTAAATGGTATACTAAAATACATATTTCAAAAGTAATGTAATTACATAAAACAACAATTGCTAACGCGAATAAAAAAAAAATATTTGATTTACTTCGGCAATTATTATATTCCAGTTTTTTTCATCAATTTTTCTATCGCCTTTCCCTTATTTTAAGAAATTCTTTCGTTTAGTTTACAAACTCTGTAACAGTAATTAAAAACATCAATTTTTTGACTTCTCAATTTCTCCTTTTTATTTCTCTCACATGTGCTTCCGAACTTTTCTCAGATCAAGAGATCAACATACTGCGCATGTGCAGTGACGTCATAAGCTAACGGTGAAGCGGAGTGCAAGAGCGAAAATTCGAAGTGAGAATCATTTGTCGTCTACCCTCTTCTGAGATCGCCAGAAACTATGTCGCGATATCCTTTAGTTAACGGGGAAAGCATATCCATGTGTTTAACTGCCTGTTGACATTTTTTTTGCAACTGACATTTATACAAAATAGGAACTTTAAAAATGCATTAATAAAAGAAATTAAATTTCTAGTAAAACACCTTTATGCTGATTTTGTGAAAAATATTTATTTCAAAATTGATCATTATGTTAAACGTATATAACAAATTTTAGAGAAACTGTTTCTGTATTGTAAAATTTTTAAATATCAGTATGTGATAAATGCTATGTTAATCGTTCTCACAGAATAAACAATACGAAAAGAATATAACTTTTTCAACCATAAAGGATAACATGTTTCAGGTAATGTAATTTTATATACAAAGTTTTTATCTGTATGTTCCCCTTAAATTTTACATTATATAGTAAAGACGAAAATCTTAACATCTAATAATGTATACCAATGAATATCTGAATGTTTCGATTTATAATTAAATCTAGAACTATAGATAGATTAATTTAGTTTTCCTAGATTAACTTAGTACATTTCGTAAGTTACCTCTTACATTGTTGCATATTTAAAAAATTTTTATTTCAGACATAAATTAAATTTTGCTGCTATGTAATGTTGTTATAGTTTCACATGCAGAAAATATGTTTTTATTAGCTTAGTTATTGCATAATTATTAGCATATAACTTTTAATTCAATGATCGGATCTTTACATTCTAGATTTCAATGTTAAAGATTTAGAGGGTTGACCTCAAATATACTAATTAATTAATGCAGACATTATTATAAATTACAATATCAGGTAGAAAAACGTAATTTCTGTGAATAAAGACACCTATTTTTCAAGGATTTGGATTTCTGACCTTCAAAATATAGAGGGTAGCAGCAATCAGGAAAAATGTGGTACTCATAGTTAAGTCAGAAAAGTGGTCCAACGTTTGGAGCCAATATAGAAAATTTTGTTTTTTGCATATTTCGCCATATCTCGAAAACTGTTTTAAACTTTATAAAGTCGATTTAAAATGTTATTTTTCAGGAACTATTTGACTGATTTCACTCAAATTTCGTATTTTTCTGCGAAAAAGTGAATTGTTTAAATTGATGTAAAGAATTATATACCTTACAATTCTAAACTAGCTTGAATATTATTAAATAAAATAAAGGAAAATAGTAAATATTTACAAAAATTATTTATCACGTGAAATTATCTTTCGATTAACTAAGCTTATAATTGCGTACAAAAGATTTTCAATTCGATTAAAAATTATCGAGCTATGGTGAAATACGCAAAAAGTAAAATTAACACTAAGGGGTCGAATCTCTATACTGGTCCCCTAACCAATTTTTACCGATCATATTTCTCAGATTGCGTTTACCTCTATATCTTGGGAGTCAGAAAATCCATTCCATCGAAAAAAGGTATGTTCATTCAGATAAAGTACAGGTTTGTATCTGATTTCATAAATTGAAATATCGTCTTATTTAATTAATTAGTATATTTGAGGTCACCCCCCTGGTACCATTAAGATTGAGTCCTAGAAAATGAAAATCCGATTATTAGATTAAAAGTAATTCAAATTGGTCGCTTTATTTATTTATTTATTTATTTACTTATTTATTTATTTATTTATTTATTTATTTATTTATTTATCTATCTATTTATTTATTTATCTATTTATCTACTTATTTATTTATCTATTTATTTATCGATTTATTTATTTATCTATTTATTTATTTGTCGATTGATTTATTTTTTGTACACTAGTCAGTTTTACACAAATAATCAAATTATAAAATTACGCTAATAATCAAAAATTTTAAATTGTAAACAATTTTAATCATTTTTTGAATCGAGAAATCCCAGTGAGATTTGAACAATATATGTTTTTGACTTTGGAAAAATAATAGATTTATCAGTAAATATTTAATTTCATTCACGCTTAAGAAATGTCAAAAAAATTTTTTTTTTCATTTAAGTTAATGCAATTAAATTAAGTTTGAAGAAACGGATGATCTGAAATGTAACATCATTTTCCCCAATGTATATTTAAACTGTGAATAATACTCTTAAGCCTACTCTTAAGCCTTTTGATATATTTTAAATATTCAGAATGAGTAATCTTTGTTATTATTATTATTTAAAAAGAGGTTTCTAATACTTAAAAAAAAATTGATATTCCCTATACTTAATAAAATAAATGATAGATATGCAAATTATAACTTAAATATAAAATATTTCATTTTTTTAAACTGTTAAATAATTTTAAGTTTAACATGACATATGTTGGCTGAAATCGACCGGAATACAAAGTTCTAAACTGTAATATATAAGATCAAATTCTCTCACATTAATGACACTAAGCAATATCTAAACCTACAAACAAATATTATGTAAATTTAAAATTTAAACTAAAAACAAATGATCAAAATTGAACTTAAATGTTTGTAAGGTTAATAATATTTTTAAGGATCTGAAATATTTGTCTTTTAGAAGGAATTTTTCGTCAAGTTTTGAATTATTTTTAAATGTATAAAAATTTCAGTAAATGTATCAAGTCATTTTCAATTACATAAAATGTAGCTCATTTTTTCTTCTCGAGCAATATAGTTTGTTTTGAATTATGCTATTTGAAAAGTTTCTCAATGCGCAAATAGGCAGTCTCCAGTTAAAATTTGATTTCAATATTCGCTTTAAAATCTACTAAGCATTTTCTTATTCCTTTAATTTCATTTCTTGAAAAGCATTAATAATCTACATTTTGTGCAGCAATTTCACTTTACATGAAATGTCTACACTGTAAAAAATAGCAGATCAAATTTCGTTAAAATACTCTCAACCTGGGGGCTGCATCCGTAAAATGTCTTTAATCGTAAAATCCATTTTCACATTAAGTTTTACACAAAAATTTTTACAGTGGTTTTTATATAAGTACGATGATTTAATTCTTTTATAGTAAATATCATTTCACTTAAAAATTATGATGTATAAAATTTTTTGTTCTGTAAAATAAAAAATTTATAATTTTGCTAATTTCGGCAAAATATTACGATTAAAAAAAGATTTTATGTTAAAAATTATCGGAAAATTTAACCATAATTTAATTTGAAATTTTTACGGCGTGGAAGTGACAAAAAAATGTAAATATAGTCAAAATAAATTTGTAATGAATTTGAAAAAGTTGGAAAAATTCACTTTTTTTTCATGATATAGTCTAAATAATCGAAAACATTGCGATCTTTTCATTTTACGAATGCATATTTAGATTATATCGTCGAAAGGAAGCGAATGGTGGTTTGGGTACATTAGTTTAAAAGTAGATTACATGAAAACTGAAAACAAAGTTACATAATAGATAATTTGGTTAGTGGGGAAAAGCATCAATACATGCACAAATATTCAATGAAATGGTGTCCTCACATTAAATTGAACTCTCCAAAAGTTAATCGTTTGCTTAAGGTGGAAGAACAATTTTTGCGCTTGGTTGTCGACTTATCAATTATTTTTATCCCTAAAGCAATCACAGTTTTATAAAAAGGAATTTTTTTGATTTAGACTGCATATTATAAAACAAAGACAAATAATAGAATAATTTTATTACGCCCTGTCAAAAAGACTAAGATTATACCATTATAACTGCATCGCCATACTTTTCTTAAATAAGATTTTTATGCTATTTTTTAATATATAGCTTTTTTTGTAATAATCATGATATTTTCACCCAGTTGCTATTGCTATCTGATTTGCAATTTTTAAATTTGCAATGCATTGACGAGAACTAACCCTTTCCTATTTGCTAAAAATATTAACTAATCTGAATTATAAAACTCAAAAGTGTTGTGCATTTTAAACTATACTAATTTAAAAGTGATAAATATTATTTTTTGAACTTTTTCAAGCAGTTCTATGCGTAAAAAAACAATATTTCTCCATAGAAGTAAAAACATTATAAAAGTAAAAAGTATGGAACAAAGAAAGCACAATAACTGGCTCGAAAAAAATGAAAATTAAATTATTGTTCATTATAACTTTTAATTATTTATATGAACCATTTATTACTCATGTTAGTTAATATCTCTTCATCATAATCATTATAGTGAATTTATCAGGTATAATGCTTTTAAAAATGGCATTATTTTATTTTTATACTTTAAGCCTTTATTTTATATTTTTTTATAGACATCTAAACATTTTTTTGGCTGATTCAGCAACATTAGTTATCATTTCTTCCTGAACCATATTTCAATTCATTTTAATTAAGTATGAATTTATGTGCGTGATATAACCTTATACTTTTTGGTTTCAAAAGTAATCCTTATTTTAGGATTAAATCTATATTCTAAGCATCAGTTAATCTGTATATTTCTCTCCACAACCATATCTTAATTTTAAAAAAGAAACTATTTAAGAAATTTTTATAAATAAGAATTAAAAATGAATTCTTGAAGGAATAAAAAAACATTTTGTGTTAATAATTTCATTCAAATTCAACGAGCATTTAAAGAATTTTATCCTTTATGGTAATTTACAAATGTGGAATATCAGAGAAAGTCTAAAAGCGGTGACCATTATATTTCTCAAACTTCTGTGAAAAATTAATATTAGTTTCTATTAATTGCGAGAAAAAATAAGAATTGAAAGAAAAAAATCAATCACAGATTGCAAAATTTTACCACAAACATCAACATGAAAAATTTTAATTAAATGAAATAAAATTAATTCTAGCAAAATACATCCGGAGTAAAGAAACTCAGTTTTTTTATTTAAAAATGAAAGCAGTTTTTGAAGCTCCTTACAATAAAAAAGGACCGTTTTAATAAAAGTAATTAAAACAGAAAAAAAAAACTTTAGTTAACCTTTTAATGCTTGTTCGAATCTGATAATCTACATTCTACGTTTTATGATTTATGCATTTTTTATACAATTCTAGCAAATTAGTTTAATTTACATAAATAATTAAATTTTGAAAAAATTAATTAATGTCAATATTGATCGAAACTCTTAAAGTTATTTGAATAACTGAACTGAATATTTGAATAACTGTTATTTGAATAGCTTTTGGAAATTGAAATAATTTTTCATTTTTCAAAGAAATGAATTACTGTACGGAGAAACAAAATACAAAACACTGGAGCGAAACGAACTAACATTAAAATAATAAAACGTATGGATAAATCTCATGCCCGCTAATAAAGTTTGTTTCTTAAAAATAGTAGCTTAAAACGTAGAATATGTTACAAATGTGATGTATATTTTTTTTATCAATTTAAAAAACGATTTCACATGATAATATGGTCCAACTTTAGAACAGTACTAATGCTGTTGTATATTTAAAAGATATAAGAATTTGACGCTCTGCACAATTTTTAACATCACGGCCGGTGATATGCCCCATGATGGCTCAGTGGTTATGGTACTGAACTACAGTTGTGAAGAACTGGGATCCGATCTCTTAAGGCGGCTTGAAGTCACCCTAGCTTTAGATTGAGGAATGCCAGTTTGTAGGCCTTTGTGCAATATTGACCATATCGCCACAAACATGCCGTTGGTCACGAAATCGTCGAGACTTAATCACTCTGAACTCGACTTGCCCACATCGAACTGTTGCGGGGATGTTTTACTTTTACGGGCAATTTTATCCCAAAATTTTGATAAAAGCTTAACGTCCTCTGTTGCTAAAGACAGGAAAAATTTTTGGAAATTTTTTTAAAGGAAACTAATATGAGTTAAATATGAACTTTAAAAGAACTCCTCACTCATTTGATTTTCAAACTGTGTATTTAATAATATAATAGTATTTATTTTTGTATGTATTTAAACTACTTCAATATTTTGAGCAATAATGCAAAATACACAGAAATACTTAGAAATTTTGTAAAATGATATAAAAGTATGTATTGCAGAATACACAGAAATACATGAAAACTTTGTAAAATAATGTAAAAGTAATGATTTAAAGACTTTGGGATCTTAACTAACTAATCTATCTATAAACAGCAAAATGTATACTAATCTTGAATAAGATAAGGTGAAACATATTTTATTAGATTCAGTTTTTTCGCAGAAGTTATTCCACTTAATACTGAAGATTGCAATCAACTGTAGTTGAATAAACTGGTAATTTTGTTAAGATGGTCTCAAACCTAAAGCAAGCACTTTTTATGAAGGTCTTTACTTTAAATATTCTATTTACATCTAAAGAATTTAAATCTCAAGTTTAGTATCGACTCACATATTTTTGGCATCTTTTTCTAAACAATAAAATTTTCTTGAATGATTATGACTGTACATGAATTACACAGAAACACTGCCACACTTGAAATGATAACGGTTAATGATTAAAAAATTAAAACCTTTGATTGTTTGTTTAAATAATAAATATTAAAACCCTTATATTGATCACCTAATGATTGGTATTCTTATCATTACGAATAACAGAAAATAAATAAATATAAAAATAAACGATAAAGAAGGAGTTTCATTCTGGTAACTTTTTTCAGTACCTCCTCTATATTCCTTGATGCGTAAAAGGTAGGAAAAAATAGTTGATTAAACAAAGATTTTACGCAAAATAATTTGGTTCTATAAATTGTATTGTCCTATGCATATTCATTTTTACTTTTTTAGACATTGAATCATGAAAGATAGCAAAAAGTAGTAGTTAAAACGGTGATTTTTCGCATAACAAATTTTATTTTAATAGTAAATTCAATTAATTTAATTTTTATACGCAGATTCCTTAACATTTCTCTATGCTCTAAGTAGCAAACTACAACAAAACAGAGTTGTTTGAACGGAGAATTTAGATCAATTTGGTTTCATAAACTTTATTTTCTTAAGCAGACCGCTAAACTTTAAAGCGTAAAATAAAACCAAAAAAATAGTTTTCTAAACGTAGTTTTAACATAGATTAATTTAGTACCCTATTTTTGGATCAATTCATAATATTCATAAATTTTATTTTCAAAGGTGATATAGTGTGAAGTCGATTGTATGCACAATGAGTGTTTTTAATATGCTTACAACTTTCAAATTTATGTATTGAAAAATACTGCTTAATTTACAATTAATTGTATGAAATTGATATTGATGAACGAAAATGGTAATTAAAAAATCACACTTCAGCAAAAATGGGATTTATTTCCATCCAACATCATTTTCATTGTTTGAGTAACATCGACGCAAAGTAAAGTATAATTTTGTGTTGGTATTAACCAACAAAATAAACAATTATTTTTTTAAGTTTAGATAATGATTGAATCAATTGAATTCAATATTACTTTTAACACTCGCAAGCAGCAAATATTTGGAAATGTTAAGTTAAAAAAGTTTTCTTAGTTTGGATAAATAATTTAATGTCCAAACAAAGTAAAGCTCTAAAAATCATCAAAATGTCAGAAAAGTAATCGCATCTAGTAATTACAAAGTAATCATTATAATCACAAATCCAAAAAATTATTTAGGGAACTTTGTTCAAAGCTTCCCTTTTTAATTTTAAATGACTGGAAATTTGAATTTTATTCAATGATTAAAACAAATCGATCTTAATAAAAGTAATGAACTCAAAAAAAAATTAAGAGTTTTTAAATGGGACAATATGTGCGTCTTGAAAAAATGCCATAATACCTTAGGGAATAAGATAAATATTAAAAAAAATGTTCAACTTAAAATTATAATATTATTATATTTTATGACTTAAAACAGCTCCAAAGTTACTATTTCAGTATTTCACAGTTCCAATAAAATTTGTATAGCGTTATTTTGTTGATATGTCCCTTAATAATCATATATGACTACGCGAATAAAATAATTAAAATAAAAGAAACCTTGTTTTTATGAGTTATATTTAATGAATAATTAGGATAATTTTTATAGCAGAATATCATGTTTATTCTTGCTTATATGGCATATTTTTAAACCTACTGGTAATGAGATTTCAACAATATTTTTCGTTTTGTTTCATAAATGGCTTAAAATACTAGAAGAATTATTTTATTTAATACTATATCTCCTTTTCTTCTTACAGTATGAAAATTTAAATCAAAATGTAAATCTTCATCGAATAAAAAAATACTTAAATAATTTTTTTTTAACCAAAATCAATTTTAAAGAAAATTCTAAAAGAATTCCATAAATCCTATCAAAGACTTTTTGCTGAATTTAAATTTAGTTTCCAGGCAATTTTTAAAATTCGAGGATATAAAAAAGTTTCCAAGAAGGAAGAAAAAATATCTAACTCTTTCCGGTGACTTTTCGAATCATCACGTCCGATCCCATTCAAGCTATACTTTTCAAAACATCTTTTTGTTGACCGAACTCTTCTTATTTTCCATATGAGAAGATCTGTGGGCAAACACTTATACTTTGTAATTTTAAAAAAAACGTATTCTTTAAAAATTTAAATACAATGGTTTACGCAATTAGTTTTATAACTGCAAAACCAGGATATATATATATATATATATATATATATATATATATATATATATNATATATATATATATATATATATATATATATATATATATATATATATATATATATATATATATATATATATATATATATATATATATATATATATATATATATATATATATATATATATATATATATATATATATATATATATATATATATATATATATATATATATATATTTATAAATAAATAAATGTTAAAACAAACCTGCCAAAAAGTACATGTTTTCATAATTTTTATTAGTTAATCATTAATATTTAGCAAATTAATAAAAGAGTATCATGCATACTTATTTGAGCTATGCTTTTTTTTAAATTGCAAAGTTTTTAATATTATTTTTCTGGCATAATTCTTTTATTTAAAGATACTTTATTAGTATGTTTTAAATTTATATTGCATGCCTGTTATCTTGTTATTAAATTTTTCACTACATTTCTCATTTTAAAATTTAAATATATCATGTAAATTATGCCGTAACATGTTTAGTTAAAAACATATTTAATGATGAAAAGTACCGACACTCAGAGTGTCGGTACTTTATGTTGTAAATTGTTCTTAAAGTCTTTTTAGTGCATAACCATACTAAAAAACATATGTTTCAAATAAAACATAAGAAACACGAAAAAGCATATATTTTTATTTTAATATTTTAGTAATCATTTTGAATAAACTTATGGAAGAGTACTATGTTTGTACATTTTAATATACTCACTTATGAAACATGTTCATATTAATATTCAAACTATATTTTATGACATGGCTAATTAAAACCATGTCATAAAATATGGCTAATTAAAACCATGTCATAAAAATTCTGTTTTTGTGTTTTTCCAAAAAATTACAAAAAATTATTTTTATGCACTTTGCATATTTGCTAAAAGTTTATTTTATTAAATCTTAACCTGTTTTTTTTTTTTAAATTTCAAATACCCAATAAGAAATTCATCATTGATTTTTTTCTTAAAAAAAAAGAGCAATGCTTATATAAAATCAAAAATTCAGAAATAAATTTTAAAAAAAAAAACTTAAAACGAATTCCTGGTGTACTTTATTTTTTTCTTTCAAAACGACTGCTAGAAGTGAAAATATCTAGACAAATTTAAAAGTTTGAGGATATAAAAAAAATCTTCCAAGAAAGAAAACAAATCTTTTAACTCTTTCCGGCGACTTTTCGAATCTTCACGTCCGATCCCATCCAAGCAATACTCGACTTTTCAAAACAGCATTCTATTGACCAAGCTCTTCTTCCTTTCCATGGAAGAAGAGCTTAAGGCAAAGAACTATACTTGAACGTGATCTGGAGGTTTAATGCTTTACAGGGCTTTGTTTGATGGTCCCGGAGCTGTGAGCAGAATACGAAATCTTCTCTTCTTCGAAAGCTGATCTTAATGTGTCTTCGAATCCTTCTGAAATCTTTATTGTGCCTTCAGCGGTGGAAAAAGCTAGTCATGTTCATTCGAATCTTCAACATCTTGGTTATTTATAGGTGCATTATGAGAAGTAAGTGAGCATTTTTAATGTTTCCTTTCAAATTTTTTCCATTGCAGAAGGCCAAATTGTTTTCATTTTCAGTGAGAGTTTGGATAGAAAGAGGGCGATAAGAGAACTAACTTGCTCCAGAGAAAGAAGAACATATGGAATAGGTTATTCTTCCAATAACATATGGAAATGGGATTTTATTATTTTTTAACGTTATTTTTTGTGTCTAAATGTCTTGCAAAAATATTTTATTTGTTAAAGCAAAAAGTTGAGTCAAAGTTTTTTTTTTTTAATGTTTTCTGAAAACTTTCTTTTTATAAATTCTTTATATCTTTTTCTTATATATCTTTTGCAGCTGTTTAATCACATTCTATTTAATTTAGTGCAAATTTAATTTAACTATATTTTTTACTTTAAGAATTTAAGAAGTTACTAAATATTATTTCACAATATTATTTGCCTTGTGCTTATCGTTTCTAAAGCAACGTTGGTTTGTTTTTAGAAAAATGAGAGCTATAATAATAGTTGCTACGTTTCTTTTTTTTTTTTTAAACGTAGAAGCTAATTGTTTCCATTCCCCTTTACTTCTTCAATTCCAATATTCCCAAATTTACATCCTTGCCAGAAATTGATCCTTTTTCGGCAATTTCTTTTATTATGAAAATTTTCTTTTTCCTTAAGCCATTACCTTCATAAAATATTTAAAATTTTTTCTCTTTCCTAAAATGACCCATTTTTTTCAAAATTTTTCCCGTAATTTTTATTGTTTTTCTTGCGTAATAATACTTTTCTTCTTGAAATTTTCCCATTTATCTGAAATTTCTATTTTCTTAAATTACTTTTCTCTTTGAATTCTTCCCTTTCTATAAATTCAAACATCGCAAAAATTCCCTTTTCTTCTTTAAATTTCTCGAATTGTTAAATTCCCTTCTTTTACTTCAATTTCCTATTTATACACTTTAAACATAAGAATGAATAAGTTTTTAAATAATTTCAATTACAAAGATTGGTAATATGATTTTTTGAGTTCTAAAATTTTTAAAGAAGCATAAGTTTATTAATAACCTTTTACATTTTTTGGTAAATGAAATTCCATACCGAATTCTGAAACTTTTTCGAAGCAATAATTGGAATACGATGTTTTGTGTTGTTTTTACAGAAACAAATTAATATATAAGAAAATTACAATAAAAATATGAAAACCATATTAAACACAAATAGGGTGATATTGTCCATGAAATAGAAAAACGAAATGAAATAAAGCTTTATTTAAATTTTTAAAAACAATTAATTGTACTTTTTTCTTAAAATAAAAGTCTAATTCCCATAGGTACTCTGCTAAATTTACCTTCAGAATTTTGTAGCTATTTGGCATTTTAAAATTTTATCTTTACAAACCACGTAATAAACGGCAGAATATTCCTGAACAACAATCTTAATTGAATAATTAAGCCGATATATAACAAAATTTATTTATTGGCTTTCCACATAAGTTGTCACCGCTTAATTTTTAATTAAGCATTTTAAGCAAAATGGAAGAATTAAAAAAAATTTTATCTCAGCTTCTGGCTTGAATTTGCTTGAAAGGAAAAATAGATATAATAAACTTATCTTCGAGAAAATGTTATCAGCAAAAAAATAATGGAAATAAATATTTTAATTAGACTAAAAAATTTAGTATTGAAATATTTTATAAAGTTAATGAAGAATAAAAATCTTTTATTTATCAGGTAAGCAATGTATCTAAATATAAAACTCAAATAATTTTACTCATTTAGCATCTTTTCAAAGAGAAAATTGGTTTAAACAACAAGTCCATTTCTCAAAAATTGTACTTTTAAAAACTAACATGCTTGTAAAATAAGCAACATTTTTTTGGAATGTGGTAATATACCTACATTTTCAGACAAAGTTTTTACTGAATCAGCAAATTTCAGAATTTTTGCACAAAGATATATGAATACAAAACAGTATAAATACAAAGAAAATATATTTTTAACAGAATATAAAAGAAAGCTGTTAAGTAAATTTCAGAATCAAATCTTTAATACAAAATAAAATAATATTGTTGAAATTTATTATATTTTACCTTATCCTTGCTTTATAATACTCATAAATGTTCAACTTGGGACATACACTAAACATTAGACATAATGTTAATATACTATTTTACAGCAAATAACTATTTTACAGCAAATATAGTAAGTTGTTTGCTGAAAAGGCCAAAACTTGTAATTAAATATTTTGTCTTTCTTGTTGTGTCAAGTCTGTAGACATCTGTAAAAAAACTTTTGCACTTATTTCGAAGTAATTTGCACTAAAATATTTTTAGATATTTTCTTGGATTGAAATAAAAAATCCAAAAAAATTAGTTTTAAGAAAAATGATAAAAAAGACGCAGTAACCAACTTGAAAACTAATATAGGCAAATTTTTTTAAATTAGAATAACTTCTGTTATATTTAATGTAGAAATAAAACATTTTTTGAAAGAGAAAATCCAGAGTTTTATTTTATATAAAAAAGAAGAATGATATTTCAATCAAAATAAGCTTAAAAAAAGTAGTTGGTGGAACCTTAATAAATCTGCTTCTAAACTACTAATGGAGACTGTTGGAAGTATATTTTGAACCACATAATTTAAAAAAAAGGAAAAATATCATATTAAAAAAATAATATGTTGTATCGTATTTTGCTGATGTTTTTATTCATCAAATGGCATAACAATCGAGATTTAGGCACAAAAAAAATTGAAAATTTTTAATATGTATAAATTTTATTATCCTGCAATTCATTTTTTCCTCATTAAGTTATAAATTAGTAAAAATTCTTTAAATTCTAAAAATTAGTAAATATTGTGAATTCTGAAATGCGGCTAAAGAATTTTCGAGCAAGAAAAATATAGATCTGTAGACATTAATCTAAATATATATTTTTTATTTTAGATCTCAGTTTGATTCTACGTAATAATAATTACAAAAAGGTCAAATTTATATCTATACACACACAAATAAAATACTTAATTAAACATCTTTTTACTTCACACTCCTAATGAGATAATATGATTGTTTAGGTTCTTAGCATTTGAGACGATATTGTAATTTTATTCAAAATTTCAAATAAATTTACTATGTAATTTATAAAAAAAAACAGTAATAAATTTAAAAAAGAAAACGAATCTATAGGAATTTTCACTAAAATTAAACAATTTAGCTAGAATTTTTTACTTTCCAAAGAGTATTTAATAAATACAATTGCTGTTCAATACAACTACTGGTGTGTAAGAAGAAATCAGAATTGTAATCTTTCAAACAAATAGTTTTTTTGGTCAACAAATTCAGTAAAGTTGCCATTTTTTAAGAAAAAGAGAGTCGAGCAAAGTTAAAAATATGACTATTCTAGTTCGGTGTATGGGTGTATTATCTGACGCTATGCCTCCAAATTAATGTTTTGTCAACAATTTTTATTTAAACTCCAAAAAAATTAACATTTTAAGTCATGCAAATGGATCTACTTTTTGACTTATAAATAATGGAGCAAATATTTTCCTGCTTTAATTGCTATCATTTTCCTTTGTTTCTTTTATTATATATATTTCCATAAAATCGAAAGGAAAGTATTTTTCGATCTATTGTTTTCGAACATAAATATTCATTTTTTCAGTTCTCAGTAACTCGACAAAACGATATTAAAACAAAAGTTATCGTTTTATCTAAATTAAAACCAATTGTTTTATCTAAATTACAATCAAATGCTGTTACATTAACAAAACAATCATTTAGAGTAACATACTCATTAAAAAATGTGAAATATCTCGATTAAGCAAAAACATTTAATCGTCTTATTTTCGCCCCCCTTCCATTCTTTCTTTTGTTCTTGAAATATCAAGAGACTTTTATAGTAAAATAAATGAACTGACATTAATTTTTTGCTCTTTGTTTTGTGAAAATTTTATCAGGCGTATTTGTCAAAGTTTTTTTCTATGTACATATATTAAATATTTTCATTATTCACGGAGATTGTATCCATGTATGAAAGATAAATATAAATTTTTTGCCCTCATTTAAATTAAGTAAATAAATACTAGCCCATTGTATAAATCCAATTGATAATACTATCAACATTTTTTTGCATAGATAAAACAAATGGATATAGGTATGATGCTTTATAAAGAAATTTACGACAGAAATTAATAACTTATTTTAATATTTTTTTATTAAAACTAATAGGTAATGTTTGTTAAAATCAATTTTGTGATTTTTTTAAACGAACTTCGAACTGAATATAAATAAATACTAGAATCCCTAAACAACTTATATTTCAATAAAGAGGTATGTTTATGGCTTAATTAGGCTTATTTAGTTTTTTGTTTTGTGTTCAAATTGTTCAATCAAATCAATTGATCATTTTTACACTGTCAAACACTTTCACTACAGATATTTCCTCATAATATGAAAAATACATTGTTAAAAAAGGTACAAAAATCTTGCAGTAATGATATAGGAAAACATTTTAAACATTGTAGCAAAAGAATCTATATTTTTTAAACATCTGTGTGAATAACGTTTTAGAAATTAATTAGAATTCCGAAAACTTGCATTTTAAATTCTCCTTATCTTATAAATAGATCATGTTACGATATATCATGAATGTATTCTAATTCAATGTTTTAGATTCTTCTTACTGCTTTTTTGTTGTAGTAGTATCAGTAGTAGTACTTTATTTACTCTGCACTAGATTGAACTAAAGCTGTTCAATGGGCAACGCAACGATCTGGAAAGCATTTCTGAGGATCATCCGAAGACACGCTATTACAATTTTGCTTCCACCGCAGAATGTGAAGCTGGCCAGACGAACTGGTCATTAATTTTAGCAATTTATGATGAGACAGTTTTTCCAAAACTGATACTTCTGTCTGATAAAAGTGGTCACCCACCGCTCACAAGGAACATTCTGTGATACTTGACATTGGTGATTTATTGGAAACCGTGTCTTACGATCAGGGCAAGGTGCGACTTTTTTGATTGGGGGGAATTAAGTATATTTAATTGTTTAAACCTTTAAAACGAAACTATAAATAAAGAATCAAATGCCATATCTTTTCACTCTCTTATGATTTCATAACCTTTTATAATGTTTTCAATATTTTCAGGCTACGCAGATGAAACCCTTCTGAGAGGACCAAGTTTTACGATTGAACCTCCGAACAAAATTGAGTTCTCAAACACTACCGGTACAATGGTACCATGTGCAGCAGATGGCCTACCACACCCAGTAATCACGTGGAAAAAGGGAAGTGGTGAATCTCTTCAAGATCTACCCGGCCTACGTTATGCCCGACATGACGGGACTCTTGTATTTCCTCCTTTTTCTGGTGAAGAATATAGACCAGATATACATGCAACTGTATATCGCTGTGAAGCATCTAATACAGGAGGTATAGTTGGAAGCAGAGATGTCCATATTAGAGCTGGTAAGTCAACAAAATGCTGTAGACTTTCCATTAACCTGTTGTTCAGGAAATGCACTGTTCTAGATGATAGAATCGATATGCATTTTGGTGAAACAATTTAAACAAAAAATGCATCTAAAGCGAGAGCAATATATTTATAGTTATTATATAATGGCACATTTTTCTATTTAATTACTACCTGAATTTTTCACCGAACGGGATGAAAAATAGTAACTAATCAAATTATCAGTATTGGTCATCACCGCAAAATCCTGCACAAAACTGAAAGACACATACCGTCTCCATTGAAAAAGTTAAGGCAATTCTATATTTTTCTAAAAATGTATTATTATTTGTTCAATTAGTTATTAATTGATTTCAAACACTTTATTTTAATTCCAATACAGTAACACATTATTATATTATATTATTGCACTGTATTATTGCATTACATTATTATGTAACTGCACATTATACTATTTCATTACTAGCTGAATACCAGTTTACCGTACGGGATGAAAAATAGTAACTAATCAGATTATCAGTATTGATCATCACTACAAAATCAAAACTGACCGTCTCCATTGAAAAAGGCTAAGACAGTTCGATATTTTTTAAATTTATTATTATTTGTTTTAATTAGTACCTATCGGGGTTCGATATACCGGTTCATACGCTACGTAGGGAAAAAGATAGTTTACCGTAGGATTTGCTAAAGATTTTATAATAGGAGATAATTGATAGCTTACAGCTGTAATCAAACACAAATTAGTTTAGCCGCACGTTTTTGTGAATTATTTTTCTTTGGTATCCTATTTTATGTAACATAAGTAAAATCACCGTTATTAATCTCGAAGTATGGTGACACTGCCGAATTCGTGTTTTAAAGGATACTTGATACCAAGTGTTTCTGATATTGTCATTTGTTACTTATCCTTTTAAAGCGTGTTTTTGTAAATTCAAACAACGGAAGCTCAAACAGAACTAATAAAATTGAAATTAAAGTTATCCAATAAGCCATGAAAAAATTGGGATTAATTTTGAATATCATAGGATAAATTATATTATGTGTATAGTTAAGCTTTCTGTTGATGAGAGGATTCCTTAACTTATGGTAAATCTAATAGTAAGAAACTTTTACAAAATATACTACAAGTAACTAAACATTTTGTATGTTGTGCATGTATGTGCAGTATGGTGTTATTAGGGTACTTCTCCGCATCAGAGAAAGGTAAATATTATATTGCAACAGTACCTATATTGGGCACTTATTATGATATAATTGGTCTTCATTACCATAGAACCTACAACGGCAATAACATTAAAATTTATTTCCATATTTAGTTATAGTAAGGGGATTTTTTAAGGCCCTCAAAATAATAACTAGTGTTTATTCACCCCAAGTTACTATAAAATTAATAGCATCGTTACTTATTATTGTCAAGAACGACAGTTAAGTAATTTTAGTAAAATGTGCAAACGGAAATTTTTAAAAAAATGTGAATTCGTTCATGAGAACCGTGAAACACTATTCGATTGTTACTAATATCAATGATGCTTACTTAATTTTGGTAATAAATACTACTTTTATTACATCAATCGGGTATTTATAATATGTACTAAATATAATAAAATTTATACCAAGATAACAGCAATAGGTACTGTGGAATTATACACAGGTTTCATACATCCCAACGAAGGGAATAAATACAAGGGTGAATAGTTGGTTAACGCAGCTTAGCTCATGGTAATTGAGCTTATGATTATGGAAGTTTTGTTTTTGACCAAACCCAACTGCAAATCAGCAAACATTACTGGTATATTTTCAAAATATAAGAAAGAAAAAACTGAATCACCTTTTGTTCAACTTATAATAACCACCTATAATATAGAATGTGATAATTCCAGTTTTCCAACGTTTATCTAAATAGATCTAATTGAATTTTTTGAAACAGTTTCATGATCGGGCTATTTCAATTAGGCATTACGATCTCAGTTCAAACTTTCAGGTCGATAAAGTTGTTGGAGTTATTAGAGAGAGTTACATAAAATTTTCATTTTATAATTCTACTTTTAATAAATAATCATACAGTTTTTTGAAGAATGGAGAAATAGAATTCTACTTTTGCTTTTCATTTAAAATTTGACAAAGAGTATGGTCTTCCTAGACATGACTTCCACCTGTGCCTTTTTGTACTACCCAATAATACTTCAAACCTAGTTAATAAAGAGTCGAATGTTGTAGCATTTTTTCTCTCTTTAAAGATTTCGTGATAAACTTCATAAATAAAAAAAAAAATTCATCTTGCTTTGACAGAGTATTGGTTATATTATTTTTAGTTATGAATAACGTATTTCTTTAGAAAAATTCACTTTAAAAGGGAATGAGAATGCAAAGAGATTAAAATTTTTGCAATTTGAATATGGCCTTAGCCTGCAACATAATTTATTTTCTATAACTTATAGTTTAGAAGTGTAATCCACATTTGAGTCGGTAATAAACGTATACGAGTAAGTCTGTATATAAGTCTGTAATAATAAGTCTGCATACGAGTGATCAGGGAAAACATGCATGAAATATGCTGAATTACTGAAATAATTTCATGAAATTACTGCATGAAATATGCATGTAGCTTACTTCTTGTATATTTTCGGCTTTTCTAAAAATCAGAAGAAATTTTTCAGTTTGTATGTTAGTGATAGAATCTTAATTGATCTAGTATAGATCCTGCCATACGAATATTATAGAATGTTTTTTTATATAAGTAATATTTAACTGGCAGGCTATTTTGAAGGTATTTATTTCACTATTAATAAAGTTCAAGATGTGGTTCATAAATAATTTTTTTTTCTAATCAATTAATTTTAATTCAAGTTCAAAATTGCTGGTTTAAAAATCTTTCAGACAGTCTTTCAGATCCTTCTTTTCTCCTTATTTAGCGGGTTTTTGATGTTCGGCTGCTGCCAGCCTGGTTTCAGCCAGGTCATGTGCAGATGATAAGAGCCACCACCACCACCTTAATTTGATTTTAATTTCCTCCAGGTACTTTTTTTTCTAACGGCAGGCACTGAACTTTTACTTCCTTCGCCTAGGAGGATGCCGGATGTATTACTAATTTAACGTTAACCAGTGGGTACCGGTCAGCATTGACCACGCCGAACTGCCACAGATACCCGTTTATAGGGTGGACCACATTCACAAATCACACAATAGAGAACAACACACATAGAGAAACATCCATATCCTGAGAGGGATTCGAACCCGCAGTCACACATGCTAACCACTCGACCGTCTGGCTTTCAAGAAAAATAAATACAGCATAATTATCAGTGTCTTTTCCCGTCCTCTTTCTCTTATAAAGCTAACTTACTTTCAAATAAATAGTTGTCTCCATCTGCAGATTACGTCTTAAGCTTTTGAAATGCTTCATAGATTTTTCAATGTATTTTTTTAATTGCTGTAAAGTCATCTATCAGCATAATAAAGAATAAGGGCTAAGTTTTATTAGAGGCAAAAGGAAGATTACTTTGAGAGAAGGCTTTAATATTAGAGACAGAGTTAAGTAAGAAATAGAACATGGTTACTTTCAATTTGTCTAACGAATACAAGCAGGACATAAACGTAGGGAAATGTTAAAAAAAAACACATTTTGCAAAAGAATATTTTAAACTTATTTGTCAATAGTTCAGTTCATTGCTTAGTTATTTTTGTATCTTAAAGGAAGCTTGCTTAAAAAATAAATATCATATTCACCATTTTAAGCATACTACAATGAATTTTCTTTAAATTTCTTTAATTCAAAATTTTTTAAAATAAAAAAAACAATAAGTAAAGTTAATTTAATTTAATAACTATTGAAAGATTAGACTATTATTAAAAATTTATGCATGTAAAATTTTTAGCAATTAAATAATTAATATTTGAAAATTTTAAAGCAAATTTATCAGATTAATTCCATTTTAATACTTATAGAAATGATTAATTAAATTTCCGCAAATGTCAGGGGATTACTTATCATCGCTTTAAATAAATTCTGAGTTAGGGAAAATACTGAGATACAGGTATACAGGCGTTGTGGAATTTAATCTACAAAAGTAAAATCCCTCCATTTTTTAATATTTAAATATAATTCCATTTAATGTCAACGAAAAGGAAATATTCCGAAAAGTTCATGAATAAATGTATATTAGACTTTTGCATATTTTATAAAATCTTGGACTGAATTTTTGATAAGAATAAAAAATAATGCATTGCGTGTCCAAAAACGAAAGATATGCATATATCGATTCTTTTATTTAGACTTTCGTTTGTTTGATAAGAGTACCAGATGGTCTTACATACACAAAGCGTGTCTTCGCAAATCTAAACGGGATTATGATGATTATTTATAATTTATTCAGTGCTATTTTTCTTCGTATGCAGGCTTATTTTCTTAGCCAAAATTGAAGGTTATGACAAGAATTATTTTGTTAAGATTTCTTCTTTTTTGGCGAAAAAGATTCTCTTATAATTGCATTCTGTTGCAAATTGTTTTTATTAAGAAATATTTATTTAGTTTCAGAAATTGGCTTACTAATGCCACGAGAATAAATTACATTCACAGTAAAGTAAATATATAACATAAATTATTCTTAATTATTAATAAAAATAAAATCTTACCAGTTTAAGCCTTATCCATTTGATTAAATTTAACAAATGTGTCAATTTAACAAATGTAAATCCAATTTATGGAGATATTAAATTTAACCTAAATTTTTTTTTTAGGAAAAAGATCTCCAAATGTTCAAAAATAGGCACGTATTTAAAAAAATCACTGTTGTTCAAGAATAAATTATTAAATTTTTAAATGACTCAAACTCTTGATATTAGAATGTATAATTTGTAAGCTTTAAACTAGTTAACTTATTGAATTACTGAAAAGAAAATAATCAGTCTCTATTTACTTACAATGTTTATGCGTTTAATGAACAAAAACTGGTTTTTTTAAAGTTTTTTTCATTCAAGTTTGTTTTGTAGATTTCAAAAAAATTATACAATGTTTAATTATAAAGTATAAACTTTCACTATATATTTATATATTTTATTTAATGAAACTCATTTAAAATGCAAAGTACTTTGGAAAAATACTAATATATATTTT